TGAAATGAAAAGTTTTAAACCTTTTAGGAGCTGCACTTGTGGAGTTGGGGAATTTGTTCTCCCCACCTCAGGATGCTAAGACAGTGTTTGCATAACATGAAGCAAACAGGGCCCTCTGGTTCAGCCTGGCTGTGGAGGTCCGGTCTCGGCCAAACCTGGCTGTCACTCAGCTCCTGCATTTGGAGTCCTTGAGGACTTGTCCCATTGTCTAGATGGCAAGATAAGGTGGTGTTCTTAGGTCCATAGAGCTGCCACTTTGAATTAAACCTGACAACCCGAGTCTGAGGTCTGAGCCCCGCCCATAAGGTGGGGGCGGGGAGCCTATTCTAAGTTGTGTTACCTAGCAATTTGAGTTAGGGTTGTGATGGACATCATCATAGTTTCATTTAAATTTCTTTAATGACAGTAAACATCTTTTAGGGCAAGTATTAAAAGTCTTTGGGCCGGGGCTGGCAAGATGGCTCAGAGGTTAAGAGCACTGTCTGTTCTACCAGAGGTCCTGAGTTCAATTCCCAGCAACCACATGGTGGCTTACAACCATCTGTAATGAGATCTGGTGCCCTTTTCTGTCATGTAGGCATAACACTGTAAACATAATAAATCTGATTTAAAAAAAAGTCTTTCGGCCATTTTTAAAATTAGACTTATTCTTGCTATGAGTGATTCATCAGAAGTACAACTTGGAACATGCTTCCTCGAGGTCTAGCTTGTTTCCCACACTGTCTTGGCTGTCTGATAGTCCCCCCCCACCCCCATCTGGATGAAACCTGGTTTATCAGCAGTTTTTTATGTTTCATGCTTTTGGTATCATGCCTAAAAAACTTTGACCATCTCCAGATTACAGAGATTTTCTTTGCTCTTTTTTCCCCCTTATAATAATAGCATTTTTCATTTTGTATTAAAATTTGTGCTCCATTTGGGAAAAGCTTTCTATAAACCATAGAGCTTTATATAAACCAAGTAAGAACTGTGTTGGGATTACTTTCTGGCATATAGGTGTTGAGTTCCATTTGTTGAAAAAATGCTGACCTTAGCAAAAAAGAAAAAAAAAATGTACACAGATGTGCAGGCACTCTTGATGACCAGAAGAGGGCTTCAGATTGAAGCTCAGGTTAGTGACACTTGTGAATGCCTGACGAGGGTCTTGGTGTCTGAAGTGCCATCCTTATAGCTGAGCAGCCAGCACTGTTAGCCACTGGGCCGGTCTTTCTAGTGCCTGACATTCTTTGACCTTTGCACCTTGCTGCTTTGTCTTTTGACTCTGTGTAGCCCAAGCTGGCCTTGAACTCACCCCGGCTCAGCCTGCTCAATGTTTTCGTTACAGGAGTGTGAGCACCACACTCAGCTCCCTTTGCACATTTTCAGAAATAAATTGGTTACCTTCCTGTGGGCCTATTTCTGGGTCTCTGTTCTGTCTCAGTGTATCACAGCCATCTTGTTGCTATGCTTTATGTAAAGCAAGTCTTATATCGTACACTTTGTTATCTTTGCAAGAGAGTTCCAGTGGTTCTAGTTTCCTTGCTTTCTGTAGGAATTAATTATAAAATCAGCTTGTCAGCTTCTAGCTGCATTAGACTGGAAATCTCTTGGCTTTGTTATATTGTGTCTATAAAGCCTTGAGCACAGTATTTTCTCCACACACTTAGATACTATGTTTTCTGTTGACGTGTAGTTCCCAGCATATAGATCCTGTATATATTTGATTATGCCCGAGAATTTCATTTATCTATTATGTCTATTATAATGTATATGTAATTATAAATGTAGCTATTTTAAATAGTTCTAGGACTATTATTAGACGCTCATTTCTTCTTGTGACTTTTTGGCATTGGTGGGTTTTGAGGAGTTAATCCATGTAATATACATTATGTAATTTTTGTATATGTAATTCTGTTTCCAAGTTGTCATTGCTAGCTTATGGAAGAACAGTTGGTCTCTTGGATCCTTTGGGCTTGTACTTGTATCTTATGGACATGCTAAAATCATGGATTGTAGGAACTTTATGTTTTACATTTTTAGTCTTTGAAATTTCATAGACTGTATTTTGATTTTATTCACCCCCAGCTCCTCCCAGATCTCCCCACCTCCTGCCCACCCACGTTTGTGTTCTATGTGCAGCTCACTTGACTCCTGTCTCCTTTTAAAACACACAGAGAGAAATTGTTTTTCTTCTTTGGGATTTTCAATGCAGCAACATGGACTACAAACTACAGTTTTCTTGTATGTATCCCAGTTGACATTTTCCCCCCTGTCCTTATTGCTCTGGTAATTCAACAAGATTGGTATTTGGAGCATCCTTACCTTGTTATAATTTTAGTGAGGAAAGTATTTAGTCTTTTACTAAATTCATGAGAAATTTTGCTCTATGGTTTATTTTGTTTTTCTCATTCCTTTTATAGGGTAATGTTAAGATCTTTTAAATGCTGAATTGCTTTATGAATCTAAAAGTTTTTGGTTTTTTTCTTCTCTTTCCTCTTATTCTTATTTATGTGTTTGTTTATTTGAGATAGGGTCTCTCTTTGTAGACCAGACTGGCCTGAAGCTCACGAGATCCATCTGCCTCTGCTCTGGCGTGCTGAGATTACAGGTGTGGACCACCATGCCCTGCCCCCCATATAAGTGTTCTAATCTCCTTAAAGAGACTGTATATCCCTGTTTGTCTTTGTTTTCTGAGATAGGGCCTCTATTGACCGGCCTGACCCCTGGACCAGACACTGATTTTACCTGTCTCGTGTTCTGTTTTGTTTAACGTGTGTGTGTGTGTGTGTGTGTGTGTGTGTGTGTGTGTGTGTGCCCCAGGTGCATGCCTAGTGCCCATGGGTTCACAAAATGGTGTCATGTGCCCTGGGACTAGAGGTGGGGATGGTTGTGAGCCACCCACGGTGCTCACGATACAGGAGCAGCAGTGAGTGCTGAGCCCTGTCTCCGGCTCTGGTGTATTTTAAGACTTGCCACTGAAGCTCTCTCGGTCTGGAGCCTTTTGTGCAGAATATTTTTAACTCCAGTTTCTTTACTATTTAAACTTGTTAGAAAATAGCTGTAGAAATGTGGTTATGTAACTCCAGTGGCTATAATAGTTACAGGTCTATTGCTGGTTATTCATTTCTTCTTGTAGGACTTTATGTCATTTGTGTGTTTTGAAGAACTAATCTTAGTTAGGTTTCTGATGCTGTGAAGAGACATAAGCACGGCAATGCTTATAAAGGAAGCGTTTAATTGGAGTGGCTCACTTGCAGCTTCAAAGGTTCAGTCCATTATCGTCATGTCAGGGAGCATGACAGCAGACGTGGTGTTGGAGCTGACAGTCCTTAGATTTTGACTCAGAGGCACAGGAAGTTGACTGATTGTCACACTGAGAGGAACTTGAGCAAGAGACCTCAAAGCCCGCCCCACAGTGACACACTCCTCCAACAAGGCCACACCTCCTAATGTGCCTCTACCTTTGGGGGCCATTTTCTTTGAAACCACCACAGATGTGTTTAATCTAAATTATCTAATTCATGTATATGAGATGTTAGAGTGAAGTATGGCTCTGCAGTGGTTTCTCTTGGTCTTTAAGGGCGTGGGAGTTGAGACAGATTGTGTGACCCAGGGTGGACTCTTTCTTTTGATGCCCTGCCGCAGCACAGACTCTTGGGTACTGGGATTGCAATTATGGGCCATCACCACTGGCTCTTCATTTGTTCTCTCTCCTTGGTTATTCAGTCTCTCTTGGTATCTGTCTCTACCCCCCATAAACACTCACACACCCTCTTTGCTTTAAAGAACGGACCTTTAGTTTTACTGTGTTTACTTTCTTTGCTTCTATTTACTTGGGGTTTATTCTGCTCTTTTCCTACTTTCTCTAGGTTAGGACTTGGACAATTGATTTCAGATCTTAGATTCTAACACAAACAAGATTTCTCTTTAGTTCTTTTTCAGGGTCTTCGCTGTGTGCTCCATAATTCTAACATCACTCAACTTTGTATTTTCTTAGATCCATTGGGCTGTTTGCTCTTAGTTTTTATGTACATGTGTGTGTCTGTCTGTGTGGGTGTACACACATGCATTGGAGTGTCTGCCTACCAGCTGTGAACTAAACTACAGTCCTCTGCAAGAACAGCAAACTTAACCACTAAACCGTCTCGCAGTCCCAAACTGAGCTTTTTAAATTTTTATTTGTTTATTATTTGAGACAGGGTCTCACTGTGTAGTCTGGCTGCCCTGTAACTCACTGTGTAGACCAGGCAGGCCTTGAACTCACAGAGATCCACCCAGCTTTTCTGAATTCTATATCTGGCATTTCTTCCCCCCCACCCCCCTGTTACAGGGAGGGACCCTTGTTTTTTCAGTTTTCTGTTATGCTTTGGAGATCAGCACAGCCTGTCAGTCGGCCTCCACTGAGACCACGGTTGGGTGTCAGGTTATGCTTCTCAACAGCTGTGCTCTCGGGGATGCTGGAACTCTTGTTCGCCCCATCTTGCAGTGGGGAGGCTTGCCCTCTGTCCTGTGGCACCATGCAGCAGATGCCCAGTTGTTGTGTCAATGCTGCTGCACTGCTGCCCCAGCCTGGGCTCCTCAAGGCTCCCTCTCTCTTGCTGCTGTTAAGCATTGCCCTTGACGACTCCTGCAGAATGCAGCTGAGCACCTCCTGCTTCTCTTCCACATTCAGCCACCTCAGCATCCCCTTCAGTGCCTCTTTCAAGCCCATTGAAAGTTGCCTGTAGTGGCCAATAATATTCTTTGTGGAAACTGCAGGAATTGAGATGATGGTGCCACTTTACATAAGACGCCATAGCTCATCCCGGAGGAGGCTCAGACTTGGACAGAGCAGGGAGAATTCTTACAGTCAGATTTGCATTTAAGCCCATAGTATCCCAACAGCCAGAACACGATATTTGTAAATGCCTTTCTCTCTAAATCATGGACAATGTTAGGGGAAGCTTAAGGGCATCTGTGATAATGTGGAGCTAAGGTGACTTTAAGCCCTGGTCTTAACTTATTTACTGTTACTCCTTTAGAAATGAGCTGCACGATTGAGAAGGCACTTGCTGACGCCAAAGCCCTTGTGGAGAGGCTGAGGGACCATGATGATGCAGCAGAGTCTCTCATCGAGCAGACCACGGCCCTCAGCAAGCGAGTGGAAGCGATGAAGCAGGTTTGACTCTTCTTGCTGGCTTCACCGACATTTGAGTAAACTTAAGTCATGAATGTCTTAGTCAGTGTTCCATCGCTGTGAAGAGACACCCTGACCACGGCAGCTCTTATAAAAGAAAGCATTTAGTTGGGGCTGGCTTACAGTTTTCATCACGGCTGAGAGCATGTCAACACAGAGCTAGAGAAGTAACTGAGAGTTCTACATTCAGATCCACTGGCAACAGGAAGAAAGAGGCTTTGGGCTGGGAATGAAACCGCAAAGCCCACGCCCAGTGACACATTTCCCCCAATAAAGCCACACCTCCTAATCCTCTCAAATAATGTCACTTCCTGTTGACCAAGTGTTCAAATCTGTGAGCATCCCAACAGCCAGAACACGATATTTGTAAATGCCTTTCTCTAAATAATGGACAATCTTAGGGGAAGCTTAAGAAGGGCATCTGATGATGTGGAGCGGATGGGAGCCATTCTCATTCAAACCACAGTAAACAATCAGATAATTTCTAATTGCAGTCTTCACATAGCATCACTTGTGTGTTTGCTTCACTGTGGACTAGGGTATATTAATCGTGTTCACTAACAAGTACATAGGTTTATTTTAAAATCTATGAATTTCATCCCTCTTCTGACAGAATTGCATATTTGAGTTAAATAAGTGAAACTGTTAAATCTAAATACATTTGATAAGGATCAGACAACACGTTTCACTAGTACTGGCACACATTAGATATTTGCTGTTTTATATAATGTTGAGATGTTTATACTTTCCTTTATAAAAGTACTTGGGTGTTACTTTGTTTTTTGTTTGTTTGTTTGGTTGGTTTTGGTTTTTTGAGACAGTTTCTTTGTAGCTTTGGAGGCTGTCCTGGAACTCTCTGTAGACCAAGCTGGCCTTGAACTCACAGAGATCCGCCTGCCTCTGCTTCTTGAGTGCTGTTCAAAGGCGTGCACCACCAACGCCCAGCAACCAAATAAGTTTTTTTAAATGATGTAAAGAAGTATCTAATTTTCATCCTGTGCGGTTATTTCAAGTTCTTTTTTTTGCTAGCATGTTTTAAATTTGTCATTTACAATAGGAATTAAGTAGGTTTTACTTCTTGCTACTGGCATGTAGAGGAAACTCCCAGTAGATGATTGAGTTCAGCTACTGTATAAGCTGTCCCCCCAGAAAGACTTCCAACTCTTAAGGAAGCAGCCCTAGGCAGGCAGTGGTGGCAGACAACTTTATTCCCAGCACTTGGGAGGCAGACACAAGTCCGAGTTCAAGGCCAACATAGGCTACACAGAGAAACCCTGTCTCAAGAGGGTAGGGGGAGAACCTGAACTAAGGCTCCTTAAAAGTTACCAGAAATACTGGAGCAAGTCCACTTACTCTGTTTTATACCTGCATCTCCCTAAAGTGGTCTGCTCCTTGACCATCCGTCCAGATGACAGTAAGCATAAACCTGGTAGTGATGTGTTTTACAATCGGACTTTGACACCTGCAGTTAAGAACCAGGAGTGTTACTGTAAATATATTCCCAGCTATCCAGTAAGAATGCCTCCAGAAAAAAGAATAATTCTAAAATTAAGATTCCTGCTTTTTTTAAAAAAAATTCAAAATCCAGCCAGCTGTTGTGGTGCACACCTTTAATCCCAGCACTTGGTAGGCAGAAGTAGGTGGATCTCTGTGAGTTTGAGGCCAGCCTGGTCTACATATTGAGTTACAGAACAGCCAGAGCTACATAATAGACTTTATCTCAAACCTACCCCCACCGCCCCTTGCAGTGCTAGGGATGGAACCTGGGGCCTTGCTCATGCTAAGCAAATTCTATGCCGGTCAGGTCAGTGTGTTTCTGGCTTCCCACCCTCTCTACTCCCACTGACCTCTCTCCCAGTGGATTTGCCTGTTCGAGACCTGTAGACACTTTGTGTGCGTAGGACATGAGCTGTGTGGCTTTTGTGATTGGCCTATTGACATGTTTTAAATTTCATCTGGTTTCTCGTATGTGTCAGTCTTTAGGGGATACAGCATGTCTTGTTTCTTCTCTCTTGGGTCAGGGTGTGGGTACTCTAATTCCTCTTTTTTTCCTATTATGAGTATTGGTACTACGGATGTTTTCTTTTCCCTAAGGAAGGAATGTTGGGTCATGTAATGCCTCTGTTTCACTCTTAAAGGGTCTGTTCATTTATATCCATATAGCAGGTAAAAATTTGCAAATATTGACTTCCTATGTGTTCTTTTTTTTTTTTTTTTTTTAATCTTCTCATTAGTATCAGGAAGAAATCCAAGAACTCAATGAAGTGGCAAGACACCGGCCGAGGTCCACGCTAGTTATGGGAATCCAGCAAGAAAACAGACAGATCAGAGAATTGCAACAGGAGAACAAAGGCAAGATAGATTGTCGTGAAAAAGACCTTCCATTGTGGTACTAGTTTGGGACTAATAAGTATATTCACAAATCGGAGAGGGGCTGGAGAGATGGCTCAGTGGTTAAGAGCACTGTTGCAGAGGATCCAGGTTCAGTACCCAGCACCCACGTCAGGCAGTCCTGGCTGCCCATCATTCCTTCTCCAGAGGATCTGACACCCCCTTCTGGGGCGCAGGCACGTATGTGGTGCACAGACAATGTAGGTACTCACACATGCACGTGAAATCAAATAGAATCCTCTTTTAAGTGGGGAAATAGTGAGCTGAAGTCCTCCTTTCTATTTAATCTCCTTCTTTGGTCTGTGTGACGAGGAGGCGCTCTCTCTGCGCTCTGCCCTGCTTATCCTCTTCTCAGCTGCTTCTCACATCTGGTTTACACCATTTTGTTACCTGTGAAGAACTGAACTCCACTCCCTGCCGTGTCCCAGTGTGGCTGCTCATATGCTCTGCTGTACCTGGAGACTTTCACTGTCAGCTTTCTCTCCATCCTTCAACACAAGCCCAAGTCCAAACTCCCCAGAATAAATGTGGCCATGATGCCCTTGCTTAAAATCTTCTGTTTTGATTTTATTTCCTTGTCAGTTGCTGGTCTCTCTTCTGCCCACTTCACACAGCTCTCCTCCACACTGTTTGTTTTGCCTTTCTACCTCAGTCTCCTAACATAGCCTTCACTTTCATGCTCCTTGCTGAAGATTCTCGTTCCTTTAGCTAGCGTTCACCATAAGAGCTCAAGTTCATTGCAGTGTGATAATTCTGTGGAACTTTCCCCAGTCCAGCCTCATAGCTCTGAAATGATTTTTAAGAAACAGTTTTAAATGAACACTTTAAAAAGCTAATGAGAGATGTCTCCAAGGATTAAGGGCACTTGCCACCAAGCCTGTCAGCCTGTGTTCCATCCTTGGAACCCGATGGAACCCCTGGAGGAAGACAAAAGTCAATTGCAAATTGTCCTCTGACCTCTGCATGTGCCATGGCGTGTGTGTGTACACACAACACACACATACACACACATACCCACACACATATACACACATGCACACACACACAGCATAAACCTTTATTTCAATAAAAAGTGGTGAGGGGCTTCTTTGCTGCACGGTCTCTTTTAAGATGTCATGTATGTCAGTGTTTTGGTAAATATGATTTGGGAGAGTATAATCTTAGCTCATTTCAATAAAGCACATTGTTCTCGATAGAACTGCGAACATCCTTGGAAGAGCACCAGTCTGCCTTGGAACTGATAATGAGCAAGTACCGAGAGCAGATGTTCAGATTGCTAATGGCCAGCAAAAAAGATGACCCAGGTATAATAATGAAGTTAAAAGAGCAACACTCAAAGGTAATCAATCCAGTCTACGAATTTGACTTGAAATGAAAATTGGGGCCATTGGTTAATCGATGTTTAGAGTTTAAACAATGAAAAAAAAAATCTAAAATTGGTGTGATATGATATATAATTACATCCCCTTCTCCCCCCCCCCTTTTTTTTTGACAGGGTTTCCCTGTGTAGCCCTGGCTGCTGTCCTGGAACTCAACTCTGTAGACCAGGCTAGCCTTGAACTCTTGATCTTTCTGCCTCTGCCTCCTGAGTGCTGGAACTAAAGGCATGTGTCACCATACCTAGAAATACCTCACATTTTTAATTGACATTTTCTTTCATCGTCACCACCCTGCCCCCTATTTCTTGTTACATATTGTATTCTCCTTGGCTTATTCTTGTAACTCACATTACTCCTTATTAACAGGGTCTCACTGTGTAGCTCTGGCTATCCAGGAACTCACTGTGTAGACCAGGCTAGCCTCAAATTCAGAGATCCATCTGTGTCTGCCTCCCTATTGGTGTCCTTAATAACTTTAAAATGGTGTGTCTGTGTGTGTGGTGTCTGTATATGTGCAGTAATAAACTATTGTAAAAATAAAGGTGTGTTTAGTTTAAAATTACTCTGTGAGATTCTCTGCTTTTAAGTAGAATTTTCCAGTGAATCTGTAGTGCTACCTGTAACACAAGCAGAAAATGGAAACTTTAAAAGTCTGTGCACTGCTGAGTGCCGATTGTTTCCCTGAAGAGTCCAGTCTTCATGAGAAGCCATGGGGTTGGGGATCCTTCATGTAGATGACATCATTTGAGAAGCAAAGCCGAAGTAGTTAGAGCACTTTTGCAGTTGCTTGAATTGCGGCCATTTGGGGGCAGTTGTCAAGACAAGCAGAATAGTTGTTGCTGTTTACATTAAACTGAATTTTAACTGCCAGTGGAAAATGAAAATATTAAACTAGATTGGATGACTGGCTTTGGATAATGGTGAAATAAACTACTTACAACTAATACTATTTAAGAAATAGTGGTAGTTATAAGATACATATATTTCTCAGTTATATTTTGGAATCTTTAAAATATTTCTTCCACATTGGCGTTTATATCTAATTATCCTGTCAGAATTAGATAACTAGTAGTATTCTTTGGGTGACAGTTATACATATTACGGACTGTAATAGCAACCTCATGTTGATGACTAAGAGAATAAAGGAGTAAAGTTGGGTTTAGTGTTACCTATTTATAATAATCATGCCCTAACAAAATGGAAACCCTTGGGTATTTAACTGGTCTTTTGAACATAAAGTCTATGGTTAATGTTAGTATTGGTTACAGAGTAGCTACTTCAGTGTATATCAAGCCATGTACAGTGACACATACCTCTTTAATCCCAATACCTGAGAGGTAAAGGGAGGAAGGTCGGGGTTCTAGGCCAGCCTGGTGACATGAAATTCTGTTTTAATTCTACCTTCCCTCTCCTAAAAATAAGTAAATGTGTAACTAAGAGAGTTTTTTTTTTTTTTAAGTATAAGAATTGAAATTCCAGAAGGCCCTCTTGTTTTACAATTTGAAAAACCAAATTTTTGAAGTTTTGAAAGAGTGAATACCACCACCACCACCCCAAAAAAGTGCGTAGAGTAAAATCTTGTTAGTCCCATATAGTAGTAACTGTGGCAGAGCGAATGTTTTCTAAAGTACATGAGGAGGTGGAGGCAGAGCTCCATGGTAGAGCATGTGCTGAGCATACCTGCAGCCCTGGGTTCAACCCCATAAACAAACCTATTGGGTGTCCAGTCATCAGTGCTGTCCTGTTAAAAGTTTAAACACTTCCTAAATAGCCATAAACCTTCCGTTAACATTTGTTGTGTAGATTGAGATGATCCAAGTGCTGATCCTTGCCTTCCATAAAGTGACTGTTCAGTTATTTGCTATTAATTCTAACTAATACATGTTAATGTTTGTGGTTTTGATTTTTCCCAAAAAGGAGACACTTTGACTAAGTAAATCAAACATTTATTAGTTATTGGATTAGTTGCTAGAGGCAAGAGCAAGGTTAATGAAGGAATACATCACATCACTGTTAAGTCTGCCATGTAATGGGAAGTACAAAAACAAGCATAACTAGAACATAAGGTAGAGTGAGGTAAAAATGAGTCATTACTATAGAAGTAGGAAGAGCAGTATTGGTTTCCATAAGCAGAGTCTGAAAGAAGGCAGATTATTTAATCTAGCCTTGAATCAACTACAGGAGTGGGGTATGCAAAACAGAGAAATGAGATAAAGGCACAGAAGTGCAGGACTAGACTTGGTTAGGCTCCAGTGATCTGATATGCCTAGACATAGAAATACCTCTGCCACTCTTTGGGGGACACAGTTCCATGTGGCTGCACTTTGCAGCATGTGTCCTGCTTGAGGACATAGTGATACAGAATTTTTCACTTATCTAGAGCCTTATGAGTCCATATTTAAAAATCACTAGAAAATTTAACTCAGTTTCATCCAAATACTTATTTTTACATCATTATTTTAACAGACGCCTTTTTGGAAATCTTAAAAAAACAAACATTCCAACGGTTGGCTAACACGCATGAACTAACACTCATTCGGTGTTTAAGTTACGGAAGAATTCCGTATTAACATTATAATGGCTCTGTGCTACAGATTGACATGGTGCATCGTAGCAGCCGCGAAGGAGTCTTCCTTGATGCATCTCGGCGCATTCTTGAAGCACCTCAGCATGGACTGGAGAGGCGGCACTTGGAAGCCAATCAGAATGTACACTAAACCACACAGTCAACTTTGGTGGGGGGGGATGAGATGGGGTCCACTTAAAGAGTTGTTTTATTTCTAATTGCCCTTCCAGATTAGATCAGCAAATAAATGAAATCAGTTGAAGAACAGTGTGCTTTTCATGGCTGTGCTGCTGAGTCTAAAACTCTCAAGTTTGTCCTCAGGGCCCTGTGTGTCATGCACAGGATGTAAGCCATTATAGATGACCTGACAGGTTTAGAGATGTTTACCAACCACCTTTTTTTTAGTTTGTTCTTACTAGATGTTGCAGCAGTTTTTGTTGTTATAAAAGAGTGCATTTCTAGACGTTAGATATTTTCTTACTCAGAAGGCAGAGGCAGGGAGTTCTCTGAGTCTGAAACCTGGTGTGTCTATGTCATGAGTTCCAGGCTAATTAGAGCTATGCAGTGAGACCCTGTCTAAAAAAAGTAAAATACATTTTCTTGATATTAACTTTAGTCTGATATTATAAAAGGCTGGTCCATCAAACTTAAAATTTTTAATTTAGATTCTTAATTTGTAGTCCTTTAGTTTGAGTTCACAAATAGGAATGCTTTCTTATTGTGTCTTAAGTGTTGAAAAGCTGGGTTGTTGCTGCAGAGTAATAGTAATAGTAATAACAAATACTATTTACCTGTTAATACATTATTAATAATCATTAATTATTATTGATAAGTAAGTAAATAAGACAGACTTAGATGCGGTTAGCAGGACAGTCCATGGTGATGTACTGACATTTGGTCTTCAGAGCCACCGTTCCGTAAGAGCAGTGTGATTGGTTCTTACAGCTAGTAAGTAATCGTCCACTGGTCCTGTAAAGCATGCTAAGCATCATTTTGTTTTTTCCTGGTGACAAACAGACTCTATACTGAAAAATCAGCAGCCTCTTTTTTCTGCCATTTTAAAGGCAAGAAATTATTGGCTTCCTATATGCCTTTTAAACCTGTGCTGGTGTCTCAGTACTGACCAGGTTACAGATTAAGAAAGCTGTTGTTATTCACACTTTTACTGTAGGCCTTCAGTTTCTCAGTTATCTGATGTGTGTCCTCTGTAACAGGGGGTCTTAGTGACTTCGAGGTGCTGCAGAGAATGACAGGCGTTTGCCTTGGTAACAGCTTTGCTACCACTAATCCAAAGCTGTCCAATACACTTCCTAAACTAGTGACATCTGTGTGTCATGTGGAAGGTACTTAGCCACATGTCACCATTAAGCACTAAAAAGTGTCACTCATACATGTGAGAGACAGAATCACTAATTTTTTTTAACATAGTTTCTTTTTCAACTATACTGCATGAGGCAGAGCAAATGTTCTTTATGGTGTCTTCTAAAGATTTCTCCATTAAGACAAAGGGTTAGAGGTGTAGCCCTGGATTCAGTCCCCAGAACCAAAAACATATAAGGACCTACATCTTTTTCTTTAAGGTTATTAAATGGGACTAGGGGTGTAGCTCAGCGATGGGATGTTTGCCTAGTCTAAACTCTTGGAAACACATAGACACATATTAAATACAGTTAGCAAGGGCAGTGCTGTTGTCCCCCATGTCCTCCAGTTTAATAGTCATGGGGTTCTCTAAGGTCTGAATCAGATCCTTCCTACAGCTATTCAGCTGCCTGAAAGACGTGTGTTCATTTAGGGATTTTGTCATTGGATTTCAAATGTTTTTGTCTTAATGTATTAAGTTGTGTTGCCAATGAAGAGTGATCAATAGAAACTATGAGAAGACGATGATGCTTGGGCCTGTGTTGGTCGGCTCTTAGGCCCCTTTGTCTCCCTCACTGAGCAGAGCTTGTGAGGTCAGGGAAGATAACTTCAGAGGAATTGTGCTTCTGTTGTCTGGCTTAGTGCCTGACACATGTCATCAAGGAATGATACAGAATTTGTAAAACTGATAAACATGGGTGTCTATAGCATGTAGAAATTAGTTCTATTTTCATCAAAAAAAATTCATGTTTTAATACTGCAAAGCAATTAGTTCATTTTGCCGAATAACTTTTATTCCACAAACAATACACTTTCTGTTCTCGAGGAGGATTATGTCTAGAAAGTCTCTTGGTAGACTTGGGACCGGCTTATAGGCATTAATACTCTAGAGGAGACTTCAGGAAGAAAAATCACCGCATGTGCCGGCAGGTTTTCATCTTTCCCATTGCTTTAACCATAGTGCTCGCAGCCATGAGAAAGAAAATCTTCTTGGTCATTGTGATACCTGTGAAATGAATAAGTATTTTGCTATAGAGTTGAGTTATGTTGTGATCTGTATCCTTAATTATATTTTCTGTCAGTTTGGGGGGGAAGGGGATTCTCTCAATGTAGTCCCAGCTCTTCTGGAACTCCCTATGTAGACCAGGCTGGCCTCAAACTCAGAGAGATCCTCCTGCCCCTTTAACTCTATTCTTAGCACCTGATGTCCACCCAGCTTTGTTATGATTCCTGTTACAAAGCAACATAAGGATACCACACTTTTGTGTGGCAGTGTGGTTCTGTCAAAAGCGATTTCAAAATTAAACGAGTAAAGTCTTTTTCACATTTCCGTGTCTACCGTTTCTTCCAGGAGTTGCAAGCCCATGCTGACCAGATCACCGAGATGGCAGCAGTGATGAGAAAAGCTATTGAAATTGATGAACAGCAGGGTTGCAAGGAACAGGAGCGAATATTTCAACTTGAAGTGAGTTTTAAACTTCAAATACAGGGTGGTGGAGGGCGGGGTGCTGTATATCCCTGCAACCACTCAACCAGAGAACATTCCTAGTCTTTAACATACCCACACTCTTTGAGTTGGTGGTAATGATTCCTGAATCTGAATGCTAGTGTGAAATACTCCATTGGGTAGTAAGGCAAGAATCTGGGAGCATCAGTGACACATGAATCCATCAGTAGTTGAGAAAGTTTGTTTTTAAAACAGGTTTGGTGGCACACACCTTTAATCCCAACACTCAGGAGGCAGAGGCAGGCAGATCTCTGAATTTGAGGCCAGCCTGGTCTCCAGAGTAAGTTCCCAGACAGCCAGGGCTACCCAGGGAAACCTGTCTTGAAAAGAAAAGAGAAATTTTAGTTTTGATTCTGTGTTGTTTTTTCGTGTGTGCCTGCGTGCGTGTGAATTTTCTGGTTTCATAATCTTTAAGATGCGGTTCTTTGGTAGAGATCATGGTGATGCAGAATGTTTTTATGATGCACAGACAGTGCTGTTTCTTTCATCCTATCACTGCATTGGGAGGCAGCGGCAGGAGGATCAGGGATTTAAGATCACCTCAGGCTCCAATGAGTTTTAGGCCATCCCAGACTACATGAGGTCCTGTCTCAGAAAGAGGGCTGGACCCGTGGGTAACGGTTACTGACTCTGGATCCCCAGCTCCTGTGTAAAAGCCAGACACATGGATGTCCAAACAGTAAGTTCAGTAAGACCCTATCTCAAAACATGAAGTGGAGTGCAAGAAAGCAGGACTCCTGGTGTCAGCGTTTTGCCTCCTCGTGTACACACAGGGAACACATAGCACCCCAAAAAATAAAATTTAAAATGCTTTGCTTAAAATCATGATCAGAAAATTTCTTACGGATGGCCATAAAACCTATTTCTGTCTCTGAGCATACAGTATGCTCCCATTTGTAAAATAAGGGTAGGTCAACTTTTTCGACAAAGGACCAGAAAGTTAAGTCCTTTGATTTTGCAAACTGAACAGCTGATACTCAGTGTCATTGTGGTTATGTCAAAGCAGCCACAAACAAAAACAGATGGGCAGGACTGTGTTGAGAAACCAACCCCAGGCCAGGACATTGAGACCTAGAAAGTGAGGCCAAAGACAGCTGTAGAGAATGGGTTGGCAAAATTGCTTACATAATATCAGATAATCATTTACATTTCTTTTTGAAAAATAATACCTCAGCTAGTTTTGCTGATCTCACATTTTGCTAAGGGAAAAATACAGTAACTACCACTGAGTGATGAAATCTATCTCAAGGTATTATTCATGTAGATTTATAACTAGTATTAGTTTATATGGGTGTTACTCATCTCCAGTCTGTTTGCAAAACAAGCTAATTTCTGCCTCTTTACCTGTTCTGTCTGCACATATTAAGACTTGCAGCTCTGTGGAGGTTGAGTACTGACTCTATGTCTTTAACAGCATTTGAAATCTGGTTTTTGTTTTTGAGAGTCTCACTGTGTAACCCTGGCTGGCCTAAAACTTACTATGTTTACCAGGATATAGAGATCCCCTTGCCTCTGCCTCCCAACTGATGAGATTAAAGGTGGGTGTCACCACACCCAGCTTTGAAATCTGTTTTGATTCAGGTTAACAGCCTGTAGCACACAGTGCATTTATCCATTTATGTGATCACAGAGCCTGCTTTTCATGCTACACCTTCATACGTCTGGCCTTTAAAATACGTTCCTCTTAGAGGTGCCGTGTACAAATCTTCCTGTCTCTGCACAAAGGTGCTCTCCCTTTGCGTTGGGTGTAAGCCATCTGCAGTTTTACTTGTCTCCTTACAGCAAGAAAACAAAGGCTTGAGAGAGATTCTTCAGATAACTCGAGAGTCCTTTCTGAACCTACGAAAGGATGATGCATCAGAGAGTACATCTTTGTCTGCATTAGTGACCAACAGTGACCTGAGTCTGAGGAAGAGCTGAGTGGCTTTCTGCGTGGGCCCATCCAAGTGAGTGGATGAATGAACATAAAACCCAACTTCAGTCAGCCTTTTTTCCTCTATAGTTTGCACAAGTACACTGGCAAAGAGAACAGAAGAATGTATCATCAATGGTCACACTCGATCCCAGCGAGTAAAAGACAGAGAAGCTGAGCCGCTGGGTGAATCGTGAGCAAGCACCCTCAAGGTGCTGCTGAAGGGCTGTTGGCTCCCTGGATGACACATGGGTCACCCTGAACACCCCAATAAACATTTGGAAATCCTAAACTATCCCAGCTTTAAATGTTAAGTTTTGCTGTGGTTTTCTGAATGGAAGACTTTGTTCTAGGTCTTACCTTTCCTGTTGAGTGTCAGAACAGCTTATGTATGAGGCTTCCCATTTGTTCAGTCTCTGTCAGACAGTTAGACTTTAAAGGCTTTAAGAATGTGTTACTTGCACCATAAACAGAAGGCATATACTCATACTATACCTAGTTCCCATGACTTGTAGATAGCCGTTATCCATGACTTGCTTGAGTGTGTGCAGTACCATCTCAGGAAGGAAAGAGAAGGAATACTACTTTCTAAGAAAGACTGCCATATATAGACACATTTAGTAGGTTAAACTACTTTGACAGAAAATGTTTTGGTTCTGGGTTAACAGTGAAACTGCCCTCCTCTCTACTTGCTGCTTAAGGATAGGAGACAGTTCACTAGTGGACAGTTGACATAGTTAATGTAACAAGATGGGTATGGTCCTCTCCAAGTAAATCTGGAATTCCTTTGTTTTTATTTAAGAAATTACTCTTCAAATCCTTAAAAAGTAGATTCATGTTCCAAAAACAAAGTTCTGGATCCGAGTCTATGTTCCATTTGGCTCTTATAACCTGTGAGGTTTTCCCTACAACCTGTGACTCAGAAAAGGGCAATGAGTGAGGGCCCACAGACATTTTCCTTTGTATTTAAAAACATTTACACCCGGCCAGTGGTGGCGCATGCCTTTAATCCCAGCACTCGGGAGGCAGACGCTGGAGGATCTCTGTGAGTTCAAGGCCAGCCTGGTCTACAGAGCAAATTCCAGGGCAGCCAAACCTTTTATCCAAAAAACCCCTGTCTCAAAAAAAAAAAGAAAACACAAAAATATCATATTTACCTTTTGAAAAGCTTTTGAAGGCCACAAGATACAGAAGTGTGCTTTAACACCAATTGAAACCTACATTGTTCTTACTATGTAGTGATCAGAATAAAGGGATAAAAGATTGTGAAATGATTAAAAATATACTTGTGTGTCGAGTGCATATTAAAATTAGCACAAATAGAAAGTTCTACTTTTGAGTATATCATTTGTTAAATATTGCTTTGCTTTGTAATTTGACATGCAGTTTCATGTATTGGCAAAATTCAAAGGACTTTTCACTTGAGAAATTTTCAGTCTGAAGTTTGAGGTGAGTGGGGTCCCAGGGCTGTTAGGAAAGGGCCAGTGCCCTAGATGTTAGACAGTTCACATTCGGAGGCCTTAATTTTTTATACATAAGTGAATTTATTTTTAAGATTTTCCTATTGGTTTTTGGAGAGTACTCCTTAATTTAATGGTACATTTGTTCATGTAGTTTTATCCCAGGCCGGAATTTTAAAAAGGAAGGCTGCACTGTTGAGACAAGTCAGAGACAATGCATTGAGCAGCTCTATTGTAAAATGTTATTTGAGAAGTGATTATTTTTGTAAAAAAGTATTTATCCTTTGTCTTGAGTATAATTTTAAGTTTGTAAGTACTGAAATACATTTGCTTTGTTTTTAGCAAGTTTTCCACCCATCCCCACCCCCACCCCTCGCCATTACCCCCAAAAAAACAACTTAAAGCTTACATCTCAGAGTGTGTGTTGAAGAGGAGCCCTATTTTATCAATAAAGATGAGTGTTTAAAGCTGGGGTGGCCTCAGGGTTAATTTCAAAACAAAGCTTGCATTTCTTAAATACAATTTGTTTTTGAAGCTGCTTCTCTTTGCAGGAGGGGAGGGTGACACTGTGTGTACTGTGTATGCCCTTTGTGTACACCGTGTATGTGCTCTGTGTGCACTGTGTGTGCGCTCTGTGTGTACCGTGTATGCCCTCTGTGTGCACTGTATGTGCTCTGCCACTAAGCTGTATGCTCAGCCCTATGGCATGTTCTTTGGTGTGTGTGGGGGGGGACTATTAAGGAGGGAGGGGGAGAAAGGGAGAAGGGGATAGCATCTTGCAATCTCATCCCTTGCAAATTTCCATTTCAGCAAAATAAACCAGCTAGCCCACTTTTTCAAACAGCCGAAGCCCTCAGCAAGTACCAGCAGTTAACCCTGTCCTCAGGATAGAATTACTAATCCTGACACACAGGCCATTCTTTTCAAGGAGCATGAGCAGGAAGACTGCATGGAGGACTTTTGGAGTACAAGCAGGAAAGCTAGCAGCCTGGGGTCTCAGCTCCCCTACAGAGTGTGGCCTCAGACTTAGCACTTTCTTCTGTGATGCCTTTAAAGTAGAGGTATCCTGTCTGTTCCTGCTCTCAAATTACAGCAGGACTCTGGTCATAGCCCAGTGCTATCCCACCAGCTTCTCAAATACCAGCTTGCTCTAGAGGGGTTTATGTTAACACCTATTGTCAAGACAAAATGAAGTGCTAATCCCCATATAGTCAGGCTGTGAGCATCGGGAGCCTGACCACCATGATTAGCCTGCCTTAGGCCAAGCTAGTCTCAAACAACTTGGTTATCCTCAGCTACATAGCAAGCTTAAGGCCAGAGTGGGCCACATGAAACCATATCTCAAAAATTAAATACATTTAGGGACTGAAGAGATGATTCAGCAGTTAAGAGCACTGGCTGCTCTTCTAGAAGACCCAGGTTCAATTCCCAGTACCCACATGACAGCTCACAACTGTCTATAACTCCAGTTGCAGGCTCCAACACCCTCACACAGACATGCATGCAGGCAAAACACTAATGTACATATATATGTAAACTATATCACCCTGGATTTCCTTCACTTCCTGTTAGCCTTAAGCTGAGATTTTAAAACAACTGTATTTTCCAGATTGAATAATATTGTTTGTAAAAGCACAAACAGGACCAGTATAAACTTCTCGAGACATCACAATAAGGAGGCCTTAAGCATTTTTCAAAATGGGTGTTTATTACAAAGATTACACAAATGGAATTATTAAAAGTTATTATGAAAATTTAAAAACAATTAGTCTTCTCCCTCCAAGAAAGCATATTCTGCCTTTCACAGCTCTGACTGGCAGAGTGTTCTAACAGGACAGAGAATTGCTCTTCAACATTCCACGAAACTAAAATACAGGCATGTGACAGAAGCCGGAGTCCCTATAGTTAATTTTTGTTTTCAAACAACTTCATTGCTAAGCCAGACAGTAATAACAGTAAGAATTTTTTGAAACAAAAGGTTTCATTTGGTTCATTTTATAAATTTTTCATTGTTTTCTCTTCAAAACATTTTAAAAACCAAAACTGAAGACTCCTCCCATTACCTGAAATTTCAGTAGCTGACTATTAAAAAACACCATCAAGGAAGCAGCGGTAATGAGCACACCACAGCCACAGCGTAATTCCATTGACAGCAGCACTGCATCAGGGAATCCAGCTCACAACTCACAACCCTGGAGGCGTGCAGCCCAGGGCACCTGGCACTTTCTTGTGAAAAGGGGGAGTTAAAGTGAGAGGCCCACCTTACAGAACCCAGGGCAGCCCTCAGGAGCAGCTCCATTCCAGCTGATTCCCTCTGAGCTCCAGAGCTCAGTAGCAGTCACTGGGAACAACTCCACAGGGCACTAACACAGCTGCTTCACACAGCACAGAGTACAAAGGTTTCATGTCCTTAGTGACCTGTCCTGACAAAATAGTCCACTCATCAACTAATGCAACTCAAAAGAAAGGTCACAGGTCACCATTTGGGCTATGACTTATCTATTATCTTTAATAAACAGCTATTTTCAATTACAGAAATAATTTATTTAAATTACCACTTTAACCCTAAGAGGCAAAACAATAGGGAATTTATGTTAATTAATTTTAGGATAGTTGGCCATAGTTTTTAAAATAAATTTTTTAAATATTGAAAGAAATGAAGGTTTCTGTTTAAAATATGAGATGCAGCCAAGTAATCAAACTGCTTTAATGAAAAGCAGGAGTTACTTTCCCCTTAATCATAACATTCAAGGGCAAAGAATCAAACCTATACACACAAAGCAGGTACCCACTGCCAGCCTCCCCCTCCACAGGTTCAGACTGAGTCAAAACTGTCCAAGGACATGTAAAAAAAAAAAAAAAATACCAGGGCTTTAAGGAGAACTGACACTTTTATTTTCTGGCATATTTTATAAAACACGAATTGTATTTGTAAACAAAGGAAACTTGTAAAGATTGTGGAAAATGAGCCAAAGCATCTACAACCAGCCATCTGGGGATTTTTCTCACCGTCACCTCGGATGCTCTAACTCCACTACTGTACTTCAGCAGGGCATCACCCCATCACTGGCCGCAGCTGATCCCACACTGACCAAGCTCTCAGCCTTCTACAGCAGCAGGGGTGTGCGCTCTCCAGCTGGCTGTTCCTTCTGAAAGAGCTCTCTGATCTGAGTCAATCGGCCATACAGCCGCTCTCTCAGGGGAGGGATATGGTGGCTGGGGTCCAGAATGTTTGTCACTCTTCTTTCTCTCTCTTGCTTCCACAGCTTGTAGGGATGGGGAGGGAAAGGCGCCTGTCCTCTTTCTCTTCGAATTTGCAGCGTAATTCCACTGACAGCCAACATCCCCCACACGGCCAGGACAAGGAAGTCTGAGGGAAAGAAGTACTTGTGTACTCATGGGTTTGGTGTTGTGGCTTGTTTTATTTTTGAGACAAAGTCTCAATCTATATCTCAGACTATACTTAAACTTTGGCAATCCCTGGATACCAAGATTATAGACATGAGCCACCAAGTCCAGATATTGTTTTTAATTGTACTTGAAATAAAAAAAATTGTAGCCAGGTAGTGGTGGTGCACGCCTTTTAATCCTAGCACTCTGGAGGCAGAGGCAGGCAGATCTCTGTGAGTTTGAGGCCAGCCTGGTCTACAGAGTGAATTCCAAGACAGCCAGGGCTACACAGAGAAACCCTGTCTCAAAAAAACAAACAAACAAATGGTGTATGTATGCTATGCGCAGATTCATGTGTGTTCAAGCCTAAGTGGGTGGCAGGTGTCTTTCTCTGTTGCTCGACACCTTATTGTTTGGACAGCCTCTCCCATTAAACGTGATCTGGCTGAGCAAGCCCCACCATGCACAGCCATGCTTGGCTTTTTATGTGGGTTTATGACTGTTTATGACTTGTGTCTTTGAACGTTTCTGTAACTGTGTAGCGCATCACTTGTTTTCTTTGAAAGCTTACCAAAGGTCACTGTGTGTTGGGGTTCACCCCTGTCATCTTTGTTAGGCTAGAGACAGGAGAATCACTGTGAGCTTGAGGCTAGCCTCGGCTACAGAGTGAGACCCTGTCTCAAAGACAAGATAGAAAATCAGTAATGGACAAAATCTTGTGACTAAGGCAACAACATGATCACTAACTGAAAATAAACTGAATCTTCATTAAAGTAAGGAAACAAAGGAGTACATTTTGAATTAAACTAGGGTACCAATCTCATTCCTTATCTGCCCCTCCCCAAGGGGGCGGCTTCCTGATCTGAGAATGGACAGGTGAGTCCATAGAGTCCACTTAGATGTTTGAAGGAGACGGGAACCCTTCACTCATGCAGCACTCTGACAGCAGCTTCCGGCCCCTGGCGATGCCTGCGAGCTCCTGGCAGGCAGGCTAGTGGGCACGCCCACTTGCACATCACTCTGATTTCTGGAGTCTTACCTTTAGTCTGGAAAGGCACTCCAATGAAAGCCGCTCGGAAGTCTGTGTTGAGTGCTCTCCTGAGGACATTCAGAGTCATGTAGGAGAGGCTGGAGAAGATGTAACTGTCAATAGCCAGCACCACAGAGTAGGAACCCACAGCTCCACACGCCAGGATGTTCAGCTGTGGGAGAGCAGAGGAGACAGGCATCACCACACAGCAGGACCAGCCCCAGCTCTCACCACTGCCTGATGTGACAGAAAAATCAGAGGACAGTCCACCCCAGGCCACCAGAAACAGTTTGCAATCCCAACCCTCGGGGGTTGAGATGGGTTCAGTGTCCCCTCCACACTGGTGTGGTGTCCATGTGTGTATGGGGTGTGTGTCCCCTCCACACTGGTGTGTTTCTCTGTGTGTGTGTATGGGGTGTGTGTCCCCTCCACACGTGTGTGTGTGGGGGAGGGGTGTCCCCTCCACACTGATGTGTGTGTATGGGTTGTGTGTCCCGGGTGTGTGTCCCCTCCACATGTGTGTGTGTGTGTGTGTGTGTGTATGGGGTGTGTGTCCCCTCCACACATGTGTGTGTGTATGGGGTGTGTGTGTGTGTGTGTGTGTGTGTGTATGGGGTGTGTGTCCCCTCCACACTGGTGTGGTGTCTGTGTGTGTGTGTATGGGGTGTGTATCTCCTCCACACTGGTGTGGTGTCTGTGTGTGTGTGTGTGTATATGGGGTGTGTGTCCCTTCCACACTGGTGTGGTGTCTGTGTGTGTGTATGGGGTGTGTGTCCCTTCCATACTGGTGTGGTGTCTCTGTGTGTGTATGGGGTTGCCCCCTCCACACTGGTGTGTGTACACAGTGTGTGTGTAAGCTCTTTCCTTCTCAATAAAACTTGCTAAGCATGTGACTTCTTTCCTGTCTTTTAATTCTTAAATGGGTAGAGAAAGCAAACCTGACTTGAGACCCCCAGGTAGCAATCCTGAAGAAAAACAAGGATAAACACAGGTGACAATCACAGAACTTCCTGAGCCCAGATAACCACAGAGCCCTCCCCTCCCTAGTGAATAGAATTCATGAAGGATTCAATGGGTGACTCTGGAAGGCTGGAAGGGTGTAACTGGGGACCCAGCTGAACTGCAACACTCACTATTCTTAGGCAGCCCATGAAGATGACTGGGACGAGCAGAGTGATGCAAGAGAAGGTCACCCAGAACACTCCATCGTCTCGAAACACATTTAGATTTCCTGGAACAGCAGAGAAATAAGAATAAACAAGATGTCCATCAAGTTAAATTTCTCCGTCTTGGTGTCTGTCCACAAACACAAGGCTTAAGTGACAGCCAGGGAATGAGCTGGCATCTGGCTCACTCGGTTTTCTTTAACGGTCAGCATAAATCACACACACACAATTTGTAGACAGGGTTTCTCTGTAGCACTAGCTGTCCTGGAACTCAGATCTGCCTCCTGCCTCTGCCTCCCCAGTGCAGGGATTAAAGGAGTGTGCTGCCTTACCTAACTGACACAATCTGTTTTTAAGGCTGTGCTCTAGAAGGTGTGAGGGGACCTAGAGGATGACCTGAAGAGGCTGCCATAGACCCTGCCCTCCTACTCCTCAGCGCTATGGTTCTGATTCCTACCCACAAAGCGCGATGACTAGATAATACTGGTGTGTGTGTGTGGGGGGGTCCTAGTCTCCCCTCCAGCTCCAAGCTTTCATCACCTTCTGTAAGGGGGACCCACAGACAACAGTCAAAGTTAAGCAGTGGACTCATCATGAATTGATTTGAATCACTAACCTAATTCCTGCTCATGAAGAACTAACTCCTGGATGGACTGGAGCCGGCCACTAACGTGCTTCACGCACTCTGCTGTTACAGTCTAGTGGGCAACACACCTTGGGGGACCTACAGCTACATGAGGTCCTCTCTTACAAACTAGGTTTTAAAAAAATGTGCATGTAAGCCGAGCGTTGGTGGCGCACGCCTTTAATCCCAGCACTCGGGAGGCAGAGGCAGGCGGATCTCTGTGAGTTCGAGGCCAGCCTGGTCTCTAGAGCGAGTGCCGGGATAGGCTCCAAAGCCACACAGAGAAACCCTGTCTCGAAAAACAAAACAACAACAAAAAAAATGTGCATGTGGTGACAGACACCGGTACTGCCAGATCCTCGGGAGGCCGAGGTGGGTGTGTCTGTGCACTCAAGAGGCAGAGGCAGGAGACTCTCTGGAGTCAAGATGGTCTAGTGTGCCAGTGTGGTTGGTCTACACAGAGTTCCAAGCTAGTCAAACTACACAGTGCAATCCTGTCCTCAAAGGGAAAAACGTAAGTAATTGAAAAATGTGGGAATGTGGGTCCTCCAGCCCCAATCAGACTTTTGTAGCTGATGCAACTTCAACCTAGAAGGAACCAGCCTCGGTGAGCCCGAGACCTGTCTGAGGAACACTTGGGGGATGGAGACGGCCAAGGGAGAGAGAGTAAAGAGAACACTGGACACAGTACTAGGTTCCAAGCCCACTGCCCATCAGAGCAGGACCCTGTTCATCTGTGAGACACACTGGCCATCTCCTTATGACTCAAGTTAGACTCCAAGGGCTTAAACTGATCTAAAGTAACTGGCTGTACCGTGGCTCACACCTGTAACCTCAGGAATCAGGAAGCAGAAACAAAGGATGGCTGTGAGTTGAAGCCAGCCTGGACTGCAAAGGAAGACCTTGTTCCAAAATTTAAAGTAAAATTTAAAAACAAAATCTCTGTTCTGCCCTATGCGCCCTGTTACCCACCTTACCTGTAACAGAAGCTAGGAGGTGTGGCACGCACCTTTAATCCCAGTACTCAGGAGGCAAAGGCAGGTGGATATGAATTTGAGTGAGGCCATTCTAGTCTATAAAAGCAAGTTCTAGGACAGCCAGGGCTACATAAAGAAACCCTGTCTTTGAAACAAAACAAAAAACTACTGGGGCTGGCAAGATGGTTCAATGGTAGGATACCTGACATCAAGTCTGATTATCTGAGTTCAAGCCTTGGGACATACATAGGTATACACACACCACACACACGTGCGCACACGCACACACACACAGACACACACACCAGCATGAAAGCCAGCATCTCCTACCCAGAGGAGTGAAGAATGTCCCAGAAGAGACGAGGAAGCCCAGCACGAGTCCAACACACAGCATACAGAGCATGAGGGTCCCAAATCGCCACCAGGAGGCCACCAGGAGGATGCCACCGATGCTGCCAGCTACAGCGGTGAGGACCAGGCGGACTGCACAAGGGAGAAGGCACAGGAAGACGGATCAGCATGTGCCAACCTCAACTTCAGCCTGCATGTCCTTCAAGGCACTGTCCTCCAGGGCTGGGGACAGGCCAGCTTTGTCAGTAAGAGAGCAAGGGGTCAGTCAACCAATCTTAAATGTGATTCGGGGAGGGTATGGAGGGTGAGGAGTCCAGAGGGGAGGGGCCCGGAGGGGGAGGCTGAGGATGTGTTTCCCTGGATGGGTTCCATCCCCAGCACTGCATTAATCTGGAAGGATCACAAACTCAAGTCATCGTCTGCTTGCTACACAGTGAGTTCTAGGCCAGCTTGAGTTAATCAGACGCTGTCTCAAGAAATAAATGAAGGTGGGGAGAAGAGTGTTTGAGCTATTTTCCCCCCAGTGGGGAGTGTGAGCTATTCTGGGGCATTCATTGCCTTACTCTGTAGCCCAGGCTGACCTTAAACTCAAGCTGACCCTCTGTCTCTGCCTCATACATACTGGAGTAACAGGTATACCACCACACACAGATTTATCTGTTTCTGTGGCACTGGGATCTAACCAGTTAGACAAAAGCTTTGATGCTGAGCCACTCCCAGCTGGTGCCTTGTGTTTTGTTTTTGTTTGATTTTTTGTTTCTTTGTTTTTATTTATTCTGAGACAAGGTTTCTCTGTGTAGCCCTGGCTGCCCTGGAACTTGCTCTGTAGACCAGGCTGGCCTTGAACTCAGAGATCTTTCTGCCTCTGCCTCCCAAGTGCTGGAATTAAAGGCGTGTGACACCACCACCCCAGTTTTTGTTTTTTGACTCAAGGTTTCACTATGTAGGACTGCTCTCAGACATTTAATCCTCCTGCCTCAGCTTCCTGGGCATTGGTATTACAGCTGTGTGCCCTGGCCTTACCTCCTGGCTGCACACGGAAAAGTAAGCCCAGATGCGGCTGCACCCAGATGCGGCAGCGGCGCAGGGCCCCGGGCACAGGTTGGCCGTCATCTCACACTCGGTGCACATGGCACCCAGCACAGGTTACACAGCGGGCGGCGTGGTAGGTGTGAGCCCAGCAGCTCCCCCGTATACCCAGATAAACGCTGTACTCACCATCGTACTTCAGGGACGTCAGTCTGGAGATCAGGATGTAAAAGAAGAACCCCAGGAAAATGAAGCCAACGAAGAATAATTCTAGGAGGAAACCATCAGGAGACAGGAAACAAACAAAAACCCACGTCAGGTGTCTCCACAACACAATGGAAGCATCTAAGGTCCAAGTCTGTGCCCAAGCGTCCAGACTCATACGCCACAGCTATTCCCAGAGCAAGCACAATCTGGAAGGCGGGACCTCAGCAGAAGTCAGAGAAATGTTTCGCTATTAAACGGAGAGCGAACCTACAAGGCTACAGCATCAGATGCTGGCTGCACTTGCCTCTCACACAGTTCAGTGGTTACTTGCTAATTTCATGGTTCATTTACTACGTTTCTCTCTTCTTTGAGAAAAGGGCTCCTTCATGTAGCCCAGGCTAGCCCTCAGACTAGCAGGCTAACAGAATGAGTGAGGGTCTTTGTGGGAAAAAGTACCTGTTTTCCAGAATCTGTGTCCAAAGAAACAAATGAAGATCCCAAGCACAGCAAACACAGTGGAGAACACTTTGGTAGATACTCTTCCTTAAAAACACATAAATAAATAATTAAAATTAGTGGGCAGCTGCATCTTCATTACTCTATAGGCGAAGCACGGGGTAAAGGAAGGTGAGCTGGCTTGAGAATCATTTACTCTGCACAAGATCACTGCTCTTAAAAATGCCCTTGTTCCCCTGATGAGTTAATCTACGCAGGCGAGGTCACTCCCAGTGGTTGCTTTCTGTAACAAGGAGAACCAGGCAACGCATGCTCCCCACACCCATGGTGTTTCTTTAGGAGGGTGTGGCAGAACATGTGTCTAAAACATGCCTGTATCTTCAACAAATAAAACTGCAGGGAGAAAAGTGGGGTGACTCAGAAAATTCATAAGACACGAGAACTAAACACAGATCTCATCTACAACCTGGCTCATCCCACTGGGGTGATGCCTGCCTGTCTCCCCAGCCCGGGGAGGCTGAGACAGGAGGATCACTGCATATTCACGGCTAACTGCTACACAGTCAGTTCCAAGACAACCCTCGAGAAAGAGTGAGGCCTGTCTCAATAAATAAATAAATAAATAAATAAATAAATAAATAAATAAAATAAAAGAACAGTAGGGGCTGGAGAGAACTCAGGGGGTTAGCGCAATTGTCAATTCCCAGCACCTACAGGGTGGCTCACAACCAGCTGTGACTCCAGCTCCACAGGATCCAGTGCCTTCTTCTGGCACTACACTCAGAGTGCACAGGCCACGTGCAAGCAAAGCCTCCACATACATAAAATAAAAGTAAATAAATCACTCTATTGTTTTAAAAAAGATAGCCCTTATCAAGAGAAAACACTGCCCACCAGATTCACCTTCCTTGGAAACCCTTCAAAATGAGCATAAGGAAATAATCCTTGAAGAAAAGCAGATTCAAAACGCCCACACACACTGAAAGACTTACAAGCTGGCCACAAATTCAAATGCATCAGTTGCTTAACAGCGTCCAGTGGGGAGAGCATGAGGCACACATTTAAGCAACAAATGAGCGGTGTAAGACCAGAGTCTGAATCATGGTAGACACACAGATCCGCCCTGAGAACAAGACTGCCGGATGATTGAATGAAAGACAAAAGTGCATATTCCGTCACCGAAATCACGGAGCTGGCCCAGTGTTCTGCCTTGATTTTCTTCACATTAAAAAAGTGGGGGCTGGGAAAACAGCTTAGTTGGTAAATGCCTTCCAAGCCCTAGGACGTGAGCTCAGATCCTCAGCCACATAAAAAGTTGGGTGTGGCAGTGACTGACTCCAAGTGAGGGTTCCTGGGGCGTGCTGGCCAGCCAGTCCAGCCAAACAAGAGAGCTCCAGGTACAGTGAGAGACTGTCTCAACAGATGATGTTGAGAGTGGCGTAGGAAGACATCCAACACCAACCTCTGGCTTCCACGTGCACACATGTGCACACACGCATGAACACTGTCTTACTGTTCTATCGCTGTGAAGAGACACCATGACTAAGGCAGTGTATAAAATAAAGCATGTAATTAGGGGCTGGCTTACAGTTTCAGAGGGGAATCATGGTGGAAGGAAGGAAGCAGCCTGGCATGGCTCTGCAGCAGGAGCCGGGAGTTTACATCTTATCCAAAAGCTGGAGCTGGAGAGAGCGGGACTGGGCCCCGTGTGGGCTTTTGAGACCGCTGCTCTCATGGCCCTGCTTCAAACCTCCAGGCAGGTGTCCAGAAGCAGGGCTCAGCATGGCTGTCCTCTCTGCACAGTGCCCGGGTATGCTCCTGCCTGCAAGGCCTCACCAGCCACGTTTCCTCCAAGTATTCTCTCATCGACATGCAACTGTTCCCCTTCCTGGTACCCGCTGGCTTCTCAAATGCTGAAGGTGTGTGTGTGTGTGTGTGTGTGTGTGTGTGTGTGTGTGTGTGTGTGTGTTATAAACACAGCATAGCCATCTTATCTCCCTCACTACACACACACACACACACACACACACACACACACGAATACACATACACACATATGCACAGACACACAGGCACATACACACACATGTTAACACATATACATAAATAGGCATGCACACACACACACACACACACACACACACACACACACACACACACAATGTACACAGTGGGGAAACTGACCCCCAGTAAATGTTCAATGCTCTGGGTTTGTCTATTGTTGTCTCGGTGCTCTAGTTTTGCACTGATACACTTTGCTGCCTTTCACAGAGTATAGTAATATGGCACCTATTTTCTCAGATTTATTTACTTTATGTGTTGGGTGTCTTGCTTACATGGGCATCTATGCACCATGTACATGCCTGGTTCTCACAGAGCTCAGCAGAGAGCATCAGATTCCTTGGAACTGGACTTACGGATGATTGTGACTTGCCATGTGGGTGCTGCTAATTGAACCTGGATCCTCTGCAAGAACAAGTACTCTTAACCCGTGAGCCATTCCTTCAGCCCTCATGTGGGGTCTTACAAACGGTAACTGGCAGATGAGTGAACAAAAGCTAGGCAAAGCATTTGTGAACAGTCTTAAGCTCTTCACTAGTGGCAATGGATCTGCAAAGCCAAGGAAGAATCTGTCCAGGTTCAAGTCCACATACTCACCGGAGAGGCACAGTTACCGTCCACGGACTCAAAGCTGCAAGCGTATGTGTGCACAGGAACATAGGCAGCCGAAGTATTGAGGGACGGGTCCGAAACGATGACATTATAAACAACTCCTTGTCCCCAAAGGGAAGAGAAGGACACAGTTGTTTTATCGTCTGATGTCAGGGTAACCACCTAAAGCCAAAACAGCAAGTGGTGTGTGTACATGACTTTTAAAAGCTGTGGTCACTGCGGTTACCTGCACAAACCAAGCCAGTCTACACTCCAGTGTGGAGTCTCCAGGAGCTACTAACAGCTGATGGCTTCTGGGACGGGAAAGTCAGTTTCCTTTTTCACAAGACTTTATTTTTAAGTGCATATGCTTGAGTGTGTGCATTCCTGCGTGTGAATGCACACTTGTGAGTGTGGGGGGGTGTCAGATCCCCTGGAGCTGGGGTGAGCCTCAGTCCTGAGCCTCCTTGTGGTGATAATATGATTTATGATCTAATAAAGCAACTGGAGCTAAAAATACTAAGCTAGCCACAGCCACAGAAACATGGTCAGTGGTCAGTGGTGGCCACACCTTTAATCCCAGGACTCGGGAGACAGAGGCAGATGTATCTGTTAGTTCAAGGCCACCCTGGGCTACATGAAATTGATCCAGTCTAAGAGAAAAACAGCTCACACAAAGGTGATCTCAGAACTTGGGATCCCACACTTTCAATCCCAGCACTAGGGAGGTGGAGACAGGAGCTCAGAGACTGCAGCCCAAGGCGTGGTGGAGAACAGCGCAGTCTACCTTGCACTCTGAGGATTCGTGGGGACAGGATCACCCAGGATGGTCTGAGGTAGATGTAAGAGCTAGTGGCCGGCTGCTTTGCTTATCTGATCTTCAGCTTTAACCCCAATATCTGTCTCTGGGTGTTTATTATTCTTGCTACACCGCCTGAAGTGAGTGCTGGGAACTGAATCCAAGTCCTCTGCTAGGGCAGCCAGTGCTGTCAACAGCTGAGCCAGCTCTCCAGCCTGACAGTTTTCTTTAAGAGTGTACAGCCCAGTAGGTTGGCCCTTCTCCACTGGATGGTCATACCCATGAGTATATGCGCAGCACAAACTGGACTCAGTGGGTTATTTAAAACAAACAAAAAGACACAAAGTTGGGAGGGAGTTGGGGGTGGAACTGGGAGGAGTTAGAGGGAGGAGTTGGGAGTAAATATGATGGAAACACATGGCATTCATGTATGAAATTCTCCAAGAATCAGTAAAATGTGTTAAAATATTAATGCCAATGTGTATATCCTTCAGTGGTTTCTCAGTTTTTAAGACATCTCCCCTTACACTTGCCAGAAGCTCTTACCTAAGTTACTGAAGTGTACAGAAATTCATCACCTACTTCTTCTCCCACCAGGATGATGAGGTCACGATACGGCTGCCATCAAAAGAGAGCTGACTGGCTTCTCCTCAAAGGCTAACAACATCACATAAGAGCACCGGACCCAGCCACATAGGCAAGAACCAGACTCACCTTGACCGCACTGGCCTTCACCTGTGACACCTGGGCCATCCTCTGCAGATGCTGGAGTAGTGAGGCCTCGGTGAGGTCGCCCTCGGGGAGAAAGTACTGGTAGACATCATACCGCAGCCTCCACCTGGACTCCTGGCCCGTGCTCACATCGCAGGGCGGAGGCTCCGCACCTCTAAAGCCAACCAACAAGACTGGGCATCAGTCTCTTGTGGCTCAAGTCCTTCTGCAGACACTATTCCACTTTCACAGCTGTGAGTCTAAGTGGTACTCTGGAGAAAAGCAGTACACAGCGATGGGCTGGGCTGGTGTTGCCCCTCCCTGCCTCCAGTGTGACGGTACTGAGGCTGGCTTTGGGGAGATAATTAGATCTTGAAGTCCTCCTGAGTGGGACTGGTGTCCTTGTAGGTAGGTGAGGCCCCTCACAGCTCCCAGGCACTCTTCCCTCCTCCTGTGGATTCAATAAGAAATCTGCAACCTGCAGGAGGCCCCCGCCAGAGCCCAAAAGTGCCAGCCTCAGAAGTTCGAGAAGGACACTTCTGGGTGTAGTGCACAGCTGTAACCTGGGAGGCAGGAGGAGCATCAGTGCAAGATCAAGTCAAGCCTGGTCTACACGGAAAGTTCCAAACCAGCCAGGGACACATTGAAGCAAATAAACAAATGCCTACAAATAACAAGTAAATTTCTGTTGTTCAGAATGCACCCATGAGTTTATGGTACAGACTGCTGATCCTCAGTCTAAGGATCTGAAACCTGGACTCCGTGGGCTCCACCGTTTCTGAGTCTCAGATCTGTTGGTATTCTGGGTTCTCAGATTAGGGATGTTCAACCATCAAGGTCCATGCAAGTTTCAAGCACTTCTGGCCCCAAATGTTTCAGATAAGGGATTCTTAACCGATTCTTTATGATATCAGCTCGCTCTCTCTCTCTCTCTCTCTCTCTCTCTCTCTCTCTCTCTCTCTCTCTCTCACACACACACACACACACACACACACACACACACACACACACACAAGCACATGCACTGATATGAAGTGGGTTGGCACAGAGCAATGACACTTTTGCTCTCTGACCATGTAGGTCAAGTGTGTGTGTGGTAGGGAGAGAGGGAAAAGGCTCTGCGGTAGAACACTGATAGAGAGAAAAGGATTAAAATAAGAGCTAAGATAGGGCCAAGCATTTATAACTAATAGTTAAGTCTCTGTGTCATGATTTGGGAGCCGCTTGGTGGCCTAAAGGAAAGCCTGCTACACCAGGGCACCCAGTACCTCTGGCCTTTATAGGGACCTGTACTTATGTGCACATATCCACACAGACACACATACATACACACACTTAAAAATAATAAAAATAAATCTGTAAGTGGGGCGTTGGTGGTGCACGCCTTTGATCCCAGCACTCAGGAGGCAGAGGCAGGTGGATCTCTGAGTTCAATGTCAGCCTGGTGCACAGAGTGAGTGCCAGGACAGTCTCCACAGCAATACCAAGAAACCCCATCTCGAACAAAAAACAACAAGAAATCTTTAAAAAAAGAAAACTAAGATGTACTTCCAAGCTTACATCACACCTGTCTCTTCAAGTAAAGAACTCAGAAGTGTTGAGATGATTCAGTATAAACAATAGCTCAAATATTAGCACTGACCTTTAAATTATGCCAACACCGCCCCAAACAAACAAAAAAGACAGTCCAACTTCAGCATAGCAAACATGAGCTGAGGCAGCTGGCTGGGCCTGCTCTATGTCATGAGTGCCCTAAGAGGGGTTTCAGCCTAAGAGGGGAATCGGCGGCCATACCTTGCATAGCCCAGGTTAGCTGGTGCAAACTTGATAGTTGTTTCAAAAAAATTATAGTCCAAGTAAATGTTGGGATCAATATCTAGGTCAAACTCCAAATTACAGCCTCCAGGAATGGGATCTGGGTGGGAAACGGTGAGATTAATAACCCAAGGATTCTTACCATGCGCCAGGAAGCGTCCTTCCCGAGAACCTCCTACTCAGCGTGCAGCACCCATCATCGCTGCTGTGTCACGACTGATGTTTGCAAGTGTACAGTTCCCTTACTCCCTTTCCTTCAGAATGCCTTTGTCAAACCCAGGGCTGTGTGCTCTCCACCACAGAGCTGTCCCCAGGCCCACTCCCCAACAGTCTGCGTTTCCTCACCCTATGCTGTTGAAAGAACTCCCTGACTGACTACCGCTCTGTCACTCAGACACTGCTGGTCACCTCTCTGGACTTTTCTGGAACTTACTATGCACCATCCTGGCTCAGGTGTTCCTCCTACCCCCAGAGGTCTCCTGAGCACTGTGCCTACACCTCTGTAGTTATCACTGTTGAGGGCGTATCCTTTCAGAACCCCAAGGACAGGACAGTACAGATGCCTGAACACTAACAACACCACCCCAATACAGTGCTTGACATGTACTCAAGAATCAAATTTCCCCGGGTGTCTCAGTTCCTGTTTGAACAATCCTATGCATGGCCTTGGCTTTAACACCAGCTGTCTCTCTCATCTTTCTTTACCCCAGGTCAGTATTCTAACTGCCAACTCTGACCTTCCAATCAGGTGTCCTACAAGCACCTCAGACTCACTGTGTCCCTTACAGAAGTCACTACTGACTCCATGCCACCCCTAAAAGACCCAGGTCCCCGAACAGCCCCATATCTAAACCTGTGTGCACAGCCCCATATCTAAGCCTGTGTGAACAGCCCCATATCTAAGCCTGTGTGTAGCACAATCTCAGCTATGTCCCCTCTCTGATGACGTGCAGTCTCTGCACCGGTTCCCCAGGCCTGGCTCAGGACCTGTGTTCAGACTATCATCCTTACAGGTGTACCCAGTCCTGACTCCCCTCTTTCTTCCTCATGTAGCTCAGGCTGGCTTCAACCTGCCACGGAGCATACTCTGAACTCTGAGTCCTCTTGCCTCCACCTGCCCTGTGCTGGATTACAGGCAAATGGCAGGGGCCAGTTCTCTGGACATGGAGCCCAGGGTATCACGTATGCTGGGCAAACACTGACCAACCAAGCTACATCATCAGGCCCTCTATGGTCAGCTTTCTAAAGAAGAATAGACGACAGCAGCCCTCTGCCCAAACTCGCCACGCTTCCTCTGAGCCCTCCTTAGTGCTGCATGCAAACTCTCAAGGCTCTTTGCTCTCCGGCTCTAGACACATCCATAGCTCTCCAGACCCGCACCTCCGTTAGGATGAGCACACTGCCATCTCTAGATATAACACATAGCTACGAAGGGCTGGTTCTGATGCTGCTTTCTCTGCCTCTCTTACTCTGAAACACTCCTATTAAATAAACTATTTTGCCAGACTAGTTCTCCTCAGGTTTCCACAAACGAAGCTCACATTCCACAGATGAACTGAGACAGGAAATTACCTCTTTCTGAGTAGGAGAGTGGAATGGCCACAGTTTGAACAGGCTTGGCATCTTTCGTCTCCAAATACCAAGTGCACATAGTCTGCTCAGGTCTAAGCATGAAAACCAGCCCTCTGTCATTGCCTGTCCCCGAGGTGCCGGGAAGGAGAGTCTGCATTTGGAAAGCAAAGCCACCGTGAAGACAGAATTGAGAAATCACATACACTGCAGAGCTAACCCATCTGTACAGCCCTCTCCAAACCGCTCAAAACAAAAAGAAAAAAAGTCTACTTAAAGAGTTTTCATCTCTACATTCATATGTCCACACCTTCGCATACAGGAGGACTCCCTGAATCACACCGTTATTAAGGGCTGCAGATGACTCGGCAGCTAAGAGCACTGGTTGCTCTTCCAAAAGACCTGGGCTCCACGGCCAGTGTTCACACGATGGCTCACAACAGTCTGTAACTCCGGTTCTGGGGGATCCGATACCCTCTTCTGGTCTATAAAGGTACCAGGCACATGTGTGCTACACAAACAGGGGTGTATTGGCATTTGTATAAAATAAATAAGTTTAGCAATACATACTACTGCCTCAGTCAGTTTGAACTGCTGTGATGAAATCCGACAGGTTTCGGGGTTTATAAAAAACACAGCAGACTGAGGAAGGCATTCTTGAGGGCTGTTTTATAGGGACGCTATCTTATTGGTAAAGGCTGTCTCATGAGCACCTCCCACTTATGGCTTCTAAGAATCTTTATGTGTATATGTGTGTGTGTGTGTGCAAGTGTGAACATGTGCACATGCCAAGGATGTGAACACACCACTGGAGGTCAGAGGTTGACACTGGATATCACCCTTTGTCCCTCACCGATTTATTATTTTATTTAATCTATATATTTTAGATTTGTTATTTGTTTCGTGTTATGTGTATGAGTGGTTCACTGCATGTATGTACGTATGTGTGCCATGCGTGGGCTTGTGGCCCTCAGAAGTCAAAAGAGGGTTTCAGATCTCCTGAGACTGGACTTGGAGATAGATGGGAGATGCCCTGTGAATCCTGGGAACTGACCCAGGTCCTCTTAACCGCTGAGCCATCTCGACATCCCCTCCAGCTTAGTTTTTAAGGTCTCTCCCTGAACCTGGGGCTCACTGATTGGCTAGACGGACCAGCCAGTGAGCCTTGATTCCACCTCCCCAGTGCTGGGTAACAAACCCATACCAGGCCTGGCTGGATTTCTGTTTTGTTTGGTTTTGGTGGGTTCTAGAGATGAAACTCGGGCCCTATAGACTGTGCCATCTCCTTAGCCCTCCGTTTCCATCTCAAGTGTCATGGCCTGGGTTTCATTCCCAGCTTGACGGGGGTGGTGGGGTGGTAAACAAAAACTCTAGGAATTGTACATTGAACTTTTCAGGTTCAACTGAATTAAGATTTATTCTGTCAGGTTCTGAGGGTAGCAAGACAAAACAGGAGCCTTGGCCCCAAAGAGTTCAGTTTACAAAAAGCTTTTGTTTTAAAGATTTATTTAGTGAGTTACTTATTTTTTTTGTGTGTGTATGAACATTTTTGCCAGCATGCATTTCTGAACACCACATGTGTGCCTGGTACCTGTGGAAGCCAGAGGAGGGCATCAGAGCCTCTGAAACTGGAGTTAGGGATGGTTGGGAGCCACCATGTGGGTGCTGGGAACCAAACCCAGGTCTTCTGCAAAAGCAGCCATTGCTCTTTAACCACTGAGCTATTTCTCCAGCCTGCCGGTAGACCTGCTCCTTTAAGACAAGGGTCCACGTAGGCCAGGCAATCCCAGCCTCATAGAGCAGCCGAAGCTGTCCTTAAACCCTTAATCTTCCTGCCTCCAGACAGAGTATTCTCCTAAGTTCAGGGAATGAAAACGGGAAATGCACTAGGTGTGTTTCAACTTGGCAAGCCTCAAAGGGAGTGGTAAGAGTCAGTGGCCTCAAAGGACCAGTTGCCATGACAACCAAAACCAAACACCCGAGTGCCACTCGCCATTGGAAGGGGCAGAGAAAGAACACTGCTTTTCACAGTTATTTCTAGAGCCCTGTGCAGTTCAGACTGTGAACCAAGGTAACACAGGGAACCCTAGGCAATGAGATCCTGTGACTAAAGATGACTGGGCCTTGCTGGAGACCAGGCCCACACATAAATAGACATCACAGTCTAACACACAAGACTTGACATTACAGAGATGATCTCCTTACTGGAATACCCTCTGTACTTACCTTAGTAAATGAAACCGTGGTGTTCTGATATTGTGAGTGTATTTGGAAAAGAAGGAAGGTCACATTGCCTGAAATATGGCGCAGAATGGCCTCCTGTGGGAGGGGCCTGCTGAGCAGAAGGTGTGTAAATTTCCCCACAGAAAATTCCAGGAAACCTACAATGGAAAAATTTTCTCATTACAATATTACACCTCTTCTATCAATTTATGTAAATTCCATTCAAAAAAACATATAATGCCAATCTAACCCTCAGAAAACCCCCCTGAGAGCCAGGTATGGTGGTGCATGCCTGTTATCTCAGCACTTGGGAAGCTAAAGTTGAGGGATCTATGCAAGTGCAAGGCTAGCCTGGGCTACAGATCAAGAACCTGTTGTTGTTTGGGTGGTTTGTGTGGAGACAAGGAGACACAGACATTGCAAGCCTGAATTCACAGCAGCCATGGTTCCCTGTACTAGGCCTGTGTATGAGTGGCCCTGTCAACAATCATGGATAGGAGAGGGGCTCGGGGCCCTACTCTTCCTGCTGAATTATAACTAATGATACAGTCTAGGGTGTCACTGCCTTCAGCTGTGTACCCACTATTGAGCCCATCAGTCTCCAACAGGTACTTCCAAACCCATGTGTGGAAATGACAAACCATTTCATTTGTTTTTTCAAACACCCCTCTCTTAAGAACACAAATGTGCTTTCTGGCCTGTCTGCTGCAGTGGGGTCCATGTTCCTGGCCCTCGGGCATCGCTAACGTTTCACTGTGCAAGGAGCTCTCGGCTCATTTCTGTCCTCCATTTTCTGGTTTCATTCCCACCACACACACACACACTCACTCACACAAACAAGCACACGCACTCACACACACGCCCTCATTCTCTCCATTTGGCAAGTATCAGCAAGTACTTATAAATCACTCTGCAGCTAAAACTTGGGCCAGCAAATTCAATACAGCTCATCTCTCCCAGGCGCCTGCCACCATCTCTGGCGCTTGCCTCTAATGTGCTCTAGAACATGTTCAGGTGGCCATTGTTGTTTCCCATGGCACAGACTCTGAGCCACAACAGCTCAGAAGGCCTGGAAGAGACTGTAGCTACCTCTAGAGATATGCTGGTGGTCAACCCAATGCTCTTCAGCCCATGATTTCCAAGGCACCAACATCCTAGAACGACAGCGAAGAACCACAGGCCAAAGGCTCAGCAGTTAAGAGCTCTTAACTGTCTGCTCTTCCAGACAGTTCCCAGAACCCACATGGCAGCTCACAACTGCCTGTATCCAGTTGGGGGGTCCCTCGTCTGGCCCACCTAGAGCGCCAGGTACGTATGAAGTGCACAGAAGTACATGCAGGCAAAACACCTAAACACAATAAAATAAAATCTTCAGAGAAGACACACACAGGAGCACAGGGGAGCTGACTGAGGAACCTGCCTGACTCTATTTTAAAGACAGGAACCAGATGCTGTAATAAGTCTCTATTTACTGTGAGAGCTGAGTTGTTCTCTGTTTCCTAAAACCTGACCTTCCCTACCCCGTGACCTGGATTTAGTTTTGAGAATACCCCAGCTTCCCTGGCCCTCCCCACCCCTCCCTAATCACAGGGGGAACACATGACTCTTTCTACCGATTTGTTGTATTTCCTTATTGCCCCATTGCCTCTCTTCTGTAAAAGTACTCATGATTTTACTCCTTAAAAGGGGCCCAAGAGATGGACTCGGGGCTGCTCTCTTTAACCCAGCTTTGTGGGAAGCTGGGGCCAACTCTTGGGTGCACTCCAATAAAAAACAAGCTTGCTTCAAACTTGGTTCAAATTGTGGTGGTGGTCTTACTCTCACCGTTGGGATTAACGCTGATAACTTGGCGAATGATGTCATCACTGAGAGTACACGTCAAGGGGCTTTCTTTACATTCCTTTTTCAAGTTTCAAAGTGTTCTTAATTCAGAAAGAAATGTCATGATTTGACAAAAGCTTTCAGCTTTGACAGCCTGAAGATTCAAGTTCTGCCTGAGTCTACATTTTAAATTCATTAAAATAACAAACACCAAAAAAAAAAAAAAAAACTATGTTCAATTCTCATTAAACAATACGGGACACTCTGAGCACATGTCTACTGCTTCCCCTAATGCAGACATCCATGCCCAGTTGTCACTCTGGTACAGGTGTCACCATCCCTCAGCATCCTCAGGATGCAGGTGCCAAACTCTCTAAACTACCAGTTCCTGACCATGCCTCACATAAAATAGGTACATGCATAGGAGATGAAGAGATGGCTCAGTGGGTTAGAGCACTTGTTGAGCAAGCATGGGGACCTGAGTTCAAAGCCCAGCACCCACATAAAAAAGCCAGGCACACACACTTGTAATTCCTATGCTACAGAGAACAGAGACAGGAAGATCTCTGTGGTTTTCCAGCCACCAGTGCAGCTCCCAGTTCAGAAAGAGACCCCGTCTCAGGGGAATCAGGCAGAGAGCAATTGAGCAGGACGCCTGGCAGGCTCCTAACGTCTCTTGCTGCTTGCATGCATGCACACACTTGCACAGACACACACATGCACGTATTTTGAAAATGGTGTTGTGACAGACACACATCCACATGCATAATTTATCCGTGGATTATTTGCATACCTAACGGAAGTGCTCCATCATCACGTTGTTAAGAGAACGACGACAAGAAAAAAAAAAAAAAAAACCTGTCCACTTTAGCACAGTTGCACTTTTTGTTGTTTGTTTTTGGTTCTCTTTTTGGTTTTTCGAGACAGGGTTTCTCACTCTGGAGACCCTGTTTGGTAGTTATGGTATGCATGCTCAATGAGATACTAAATAGCTTTAAAAGGGGCCAGGCTAGAATTACCCTTCCCCCTCAGAGCTGGCATGGAACCCGGGGCCCATACCTGAATCACAAGTGCTCTGCCACTGCGATACGGCTTCTGCCCCTGAATTATCAATATCTAAGGCCTAGCCAGTGGGCTGTCAGACAGTTACATATCTCTCTTCTTGCATGTATATGGAAATAAACATTAGACATCTTGATACTAAGCCTTGAACTCAGAGTTGGACTCCATACCCACAAGCTTTGTATCCTGCTGATTCAATCAGCCAGAGTGAAAATAGCGTTTTAAAAGTGCATCCAGGCGGGTGTTGGTGGCACACACCTTTGATCCCAGCACTCGGCAGGCAGAAGCAGGCGGATCTCTGTGAGTTTGAGACCAGCCTGGTCTACACAAGCTAGGTCCAGGATAAGCTCCAAAGCTACACAGAGAAACCCTGTCTCAAGAAAAAAAAAAAAAAGTGCTATGTGAACTGCAGATGACTCAGAGGTTAAAAGCACTGGCTGCTCTTCCAGAGGTCCTGAGTTCAATTCCCAGCAAACACACGGTGGCTCACAGCCATCTGTAATGAGATCCGGTAGCCTATTCTGGCCTGCAGGCATACATGCAGAAAGAACACTGTATAAATAAATAAATAAATTTATATATAAATAAATACATCTTTAAAAAAAAGAAGAGAAAAATTACTATGCATAGCATGTATACTTTTAATCTCGGTGCTCAGAGGTAGAGACAAGAAGAGCGGAGTCAAGATTATCCCCAGTTAGACAGTGAGTTTGAGGCCAGCCTGCACAACATGAGACTGTCTCATAATTCCCCAAAATAAAATAAAATAGTTCTGTCTTTCAGGAGAGTGTTCTAGGAAGCATACAGGTCAGATGACTATTGCATGTGAGATTTTTACTGCTATATAGTGACAGACGACCTTTGCCCTTACAGTTAAACTATACCTAAGTTGTATTCCTGTCTGAAAACTCATAAATGAAAACCAACAGCCCGAGAGACTGGCTAGGGTGCAGGCCTGAAAGTTTAAGCTGAAGTCTCTGCCTTCAAGAACTCCACCCAGGCTTCCAGGAACATTGAGAACTCTTGCATGGTGTGGGCTGCATGTTTAGAGATGGCGCTTCCTGGAGGCCCCGCCCCCCACACGCCTGTGACAAGAACCAGGCAGAAGACGGATAATGAAGGCCGGTGGGGAGACACTGTCAATGGCATCTAAAACCCGGTCCTGTTGCTTTAACATCGGTAACATTGAGAACGGATGCCTTAAATTATTTCTCTTTTCCAACACGGCTCCTTTGTCACTATTCTGTAGTTATCAGAAGTATCCTTATCATCAGGACATTACAATACATCCTGGTTGTTGGTGACACTCATGTGGAGGTGATCTGATGCCCAGACTCTCCCATACCACTAAAATAAAAATCCCTAGCAATAGCTGCAGATATGAATGTAAAAACAAACACTTGTTCAAACAGCATGGAGAAGGACTAGAACTAAAACTCAGTTGCCAGAGGTCTTGACTAGCACCGCCAACAATGCTTAAGCAGGTGATTGTTGCTGTGATCTCCACGCTGGGGAGATGGGTGGAGACAGAAGGATCAGAAGTTCACATCATCCTCAGCTGTGTGGGTAGCTCAAGACTAGCCTGGGCTATACAAGACCCTGCATCAAAAAACAAAACAAAGTTCTCCAGGTAACTGAGAACTGCAAACATCATGCTCGGTGAGTGAGGGAGACATACACACACCTCTCCATTCTTTTGTTTTGTTTTGGTTTCTCAAGACAGGGTTTCTCTGTAGCATTTGGAGCCTGTCCTGGAACTCAGTAGACCAGGCTGGCCTCAAACTCACAGAGATCCGCTTGCCTCTGCCTCCAGAGTGCTGGGATTAAAGGCGTGCTCCACCACCGCCCCAGCCGGCTACCTCTCCATTCTTAACTGAGCTGCCTTGTGTGTGGGAACAACTGGCCATCCAAGAACCATTGCACAATTTGTATAGAAGACTGCATTTTAACCCAAGCTTGGGTGGTTTCCCTCCTAGCTATGCAGGTCTTTGTCATATCTCATGATCCAGTGTCTGGCACTGTACCAGTCGCCTGGCAGTCAATGCTTGTTCAACAGAGACTGAACTACGTGACCTGAGGCCAGGTATTTATTTCCTCTGGGCCTGTGTTCTCTCACAGTGAAAGGGAGGGAACGGGGCTACAGTAACCACTGGGCTGCAGAGACCACCAGACACAATAGTTTTACAGCCATCAGATGCTGCGCCGAGCTCTCTTGGTTTGCCAGTGCTTTTGGAGATGCAGAGCCTGGAATTAAAAGAGCAGCCAAAAATACCCA